AGAGGAAAGGAGCTGCTGCATATCTGGATCTGAACTCACACTAAAGCCACAAATATGGTGTTTTATATAAATGCCTACTTTTCCACAACAAAATGTCCAAAAGCAAATGTTAAAAAGCTGAAATTAACGTCCAAATTAATGTATCTCAGCTACTCTCTTTGTACAACAGTCTCGAGTCAGATATTTATCATAAAAACATGACGGAAAAATGCTAATATTTCATTTTGAGGCGCTGGAACAAGTGTACAAAAAATATGGCAGACAACTGATTTAATAGTTCGATTAAATTCGACTGTATTAAAACGTTGTAACCCTCTCATAGGTGTTCACTGATCGCTCACACAACCAGCTGTTAATATGTAGCACAGAGATTAACTCTAAATAATTAGAATTAAAGTTTTTAAAGCGCTGGTTTTCGGTGAAAATGCTCGGCTTGTCCACGATGTCAAGTACAAAGTAAACATGTAGAAGTGAGGCATAACTAAAAGACTAAAGATGTGAATATTGATGCTAAATAATCCCCTCGTAATATTATTTAAACCCTAATGGAGTCTTGTTTAAAGACCAGGTGTGTTTTTGAAGTAATGATTAGATCTTAGTGCATATTTTAGCATATTAAAATGCTTTGAGAGATAGTGAAAAAGTTCAAAAAGGCCTATTATTGCATGAATTTCTGAATGTACTTGAAAGAGGAAAGACATCCCATGACCCTAAAGTGCATTTTGACACAGATCTTTTATCATTAAAAGATTTAAGACATCCTCTACCTGTCTTCTAGTCTATGAATAGATCATTTCTCTCTGTTTTAGGCAAACCAATGCTGGTTATATTGCATTTAAACTGCTGCTAATGTATGTTATTGAGCACGGGGTGAAAGAACACTTGTTTCTCACGGACACAAGACGTCTGAAGAGGGAGGAGAGGCTGCAACCTATTAGGGGTTTAAGTTACGGCCTAATTTACGAGTCAAGATGTTTTATATTATCCCTTGAACATGGGTCATTAAACCAGGTATAAGAACACCAGAGGATTGAGGGTCTCTCAACAGGAACACACAGACCTTCATCCCTGCACAAGTCTCTTCTTAATGGGAGATGTTTGAAAGTGGAAAGCAGCAGGCAGTGGGGGAAGAACTCTGAGCTCTAAACACGAACAATAGAAAGTGCCAGCGTCATCACAGCTGGGCTTATCGGTGTGTCGCTGCCTGCACCGGCAACACCAATACCACATAGTGGGGGGGGTACAATGCATGGTACAATGTCCCTGAGAGGAAAGGACAAACTTTGACAACATGCACATCTGGACTGATAAAGCCAAAAATTTGATGTTTTTTAATACAAATACCTACTTTTCCACAACATTCTGCATAAAACTAAAGCTTAACTTTGCTAAAACGTTCATAAGCAAATGTAAAAAGGTGGAAATTAACGTCCGAATTAATGTATCTCAGCTACTCTCTTTGTACAACAGTCTAAAGCCAGATATTTATGATAAAACATGACGAGAAAATGCAAATATTCCAATTTGAGACGCTGGAAAAAGTGCATTTTCTGCCTAAAAAATAAATAAATGATAAAATATGTGTTTGTAAGTCAACCGATTAATTCGACTGTATTAAAACGTTGTAACCCTCTCATAGGTGTTCACTGATCGCTCACACAACCAGCTGTTAATATGTAGCACAGAGATTAACTCTAAATAATTAGAATGAAAGTTTTTAAAGCGCTGGTTTTCGGTGAAAATGCTCGGCTTGTCCACGATGTCAAGTACAAAGTAAACATGTAGAAGTGAGGCATAACTAAAAGACTAAAGATGTGAATATTGATGCTAAATAATCCCCTCATAATATTATTTAAACCCTAATGGAGTCTTGTTTAAAGACCAGGTGTGTTTTTGAAGTAATGATTAGATCTTAGTGCATATTTTAGCATATTAAAATGCTTTGAGAGATAGTGAAAAAGTTCAAAAAGGCCTATTATTGCATGAATTTCTGAATGTACTTGAAAGAGGAAAGACAGATCTTGAATCATTAAAAGATTTAAGACATCCTCTATCTGCCTTCTAGTCTATACATAGATCATTTCTCTCTGTTTTAGGCAAACAAATGCTGGTTATATTGCATTTAAACTGCTGCTAATGTATGTTATTGAGCACGGGGTGAAAGAACACTTGTTGCTCACGGACACAAGACGTCTGAAGATACTTATTATCTACAGGTCTAAGAGTGTAACTGTTATTTAAAACAGATCATTTGCCTCGTGAATCCACTCTGGTCAGTTACAAAGGTGTAATTATCAGTTTACCTGCCATCCATCCTTCAAATAAATCCTCAGGACTTAATTTACAGCTGACTTTTAGGGAAATTCACAACTGCCTTTTTAACCGTTTTAATGCGTCATCCAGATGAAAAAAACCCGTCCGTTATTTCAAACTCCTTCCTGATTTAATCCCACTTATCAGGAACAAAATGATTGAATCAGAGGAAATACACAGAGTACAATACAAAGACGGAAAGACGAGGTACCTTGAAATGTTGTCTTTTATCTTCTAAAAGCCAAACATGTCCAGGGAAAAGCAGATAACCCACTCTGCGCGTTGGAGTAACGAAAGCCCCTGAAAACAATGGGCTCTGCTGATATGGCCTATCCCACTAAGCAGTGTCAACTCACCTAGGCAACATGGACCGTACCACTCCTCGTGCAAACAGGGGACAATGGCTAGACTTAGTTTCTCCGAGTGCCGTCACAAATCTCTACGCTTGTTTCGAAATCCCCTGCCTGAACATTAGCTCTGAGTTTCATCTTCTACAACCGTTTGAATCAAATATTTCTCAGCAGAAGTCGTTTTTTGAACACACGGTTTGATCCACCGTCCCCTCTTTTTTAAATCAACCCGCTCTGCAAAGCTGAGCACACGCCTGTGGCTTTGCAACTAGTAATTGGATTCAAGCTTTAAGACTGTTGCCACTGAGCATGTAATTCTGACGGGACAGGACACTGAACACACACATGGAGCAGATAGGCCGAGATACATTAACATTCATTAGTTTTACTGGTCAAAGTGATTAAACATTATTCTGTCATATTTTATTCACACTTCCTAAAAGGTCTTCCTGTTTAACTGAATTTAAAATGAACATTTGTGAGGTTTGAGCAATGATAGCTAAACAGTGAGACAGCAGATAAAGAAGGTTATTGTTGCAGAGAGACATGAAATAAATAAGCAATCAACTCTCTTTGCAGTTTGGATGTTCAATCATTAGTTTAACCAGTAAATGTTTGACTTGATATGTTTAAATATTGTTGTTCAACTCTTCAAAAAAATGTTTCTGAATTCCCTAAAATGTCTTCACTAGAATGTAAAATACATTTCTGAGAGTTTTATGAGTCTTAGTTAGCTCAACATTAAACCCTTGTTATTATAACAGTAGATACTATTTCAATAAAGTGTTATAAGAGTAGGGTTGGGAACCGAAACTCGGTTCCAGATGAGAACCGATAAGAAATGCCGGGCACCGGGTACCCATACAAAATACACCATTTCGGTTCTGCTTAACGGTTCCTAAACGCGGTAGACCCTGTATTCCACCGGGTCCGTCTGCGCCCGCCCACAGCTTATTGTGCAATACATTTGTTTTGCATGTATATTTTTTATTTGTAAAAATGTCAATTAAAGCTTAAAAGAATAAAGATATTTTTGTTATCTAAACGTTTGACCTCTTTCTTTTACAATTTTGGAATCGAAACCGGGAATCGATAAGAACCGGAATCGGAATCGATACATTTCAAAAGATACCCACCCCTATACAAGAGTATTATATTATGTTAAACATCTATTAATAAACAGAAATATCTCAAAGCCTCCACACGGTGGCGCTAAAGCCATCATTAAGCAATTATCTGGGAACTCAGAAAGGCCAAAATATTCTAAACTAATAATGACATTGAATCATTTAACAATAACATCCTGTACTGAAAAAGCCATTTATTATATGTTGTATTATTAAAAGTTATACATGTACAAATGCCTCAACATGTCTGACACACTCATGAAGCTGAAACTAGATTGTTTTGCCTCATACATAACAAGTGATGACTGATTAACTGGTGTTAACTAGAGGAGGAAATAAACCATGATACTATCTGCCAGCGGGGGCTCCTTTCCGTCTCATTTAGGAGTCATTACTATCTGGAATAACTCTCTGCCGCAGCTCCACCGCCTGCACAATACTGCTTTTGTTTCTGCCTCAGAGGCAAACCAGCAGCGAGAGGCCCATCGCCTCGGCTGACCCCCGTTAATACCAGAACAATTAATGCTTGGGGAAGATTTTTAGGGTAGCACGAGCAACTCATCTCTACGGTTTTTCTCGTCGGCTTTCGTACGAGACGCAGGGCTCCAAAACCGTGGCTTTGACCTCCTAATGCAAGGGGGTCAAACTCAATTTCATCGCGGGCCACATCAGCATTAAAGTTGCACTCAAAGGGACAGTTGTAACTTTTAGACTATATAAATATACATATCTATAAAATGATGTATTATATTACGTTATTGCCTCTGCATTGGATTATTATCAGATAGGGTAATAACTTCATAATTACTACGTCTGAAAGCAGAAGTTCAGGGCGAATAATTGCAAGTCTCTTCAGTGTGCATGTCACAAAACAAGATGCATTGTGGGACATGTAGTTTATAGGGCAAAGTGCTTCTGTAAAGCGGCATGTAACCGTATAACAAACGTGTAACTCCCTCTCTTGGATATCAGCATGTGAAGGACACTGTTCAGGAACTAGTTGATGCTCTGTATGTGATGACTCCTTCCCTTCTGGAGAGGATCAGAAACACATGGATCCTGAGGCTGAAGCTCAAGCCGGAGACCAGGGAGATTATTCTCCCCTAATGCATAATACTGACACAATACACTCTTCGGCCCCTCTTTCGAAACGGAAGGTGTTAAATAAAAGTTGTTGCATTGTTACAGGAGATATCTTCTGTTTCCGTACCTTCGGACGCCCAGACCGAGGGTCTTATGGGAGCTCTTCACCAGACAGATGGCCTCCTGACGGGATCCGCTGAGGGACACTGCGTTCACGCTCACCATCTCATCTCCGACCTGCAAACACACGGCCGCCGCCGCGCTGCCCTCCTCCACCTGAACACACACACCATGTATACATCACTTCAGGGGACATTACATTCACTTACATGCATTTCCTGGAGACTTATCCTAACCTTAACCATAACATGCCTAACCCTAACCAAGTCTTCACCCTAAAATTAATGATTCCCCTTATGGGGACCTCCAATTTGTCCCCATAAGGGAAGCGAGTCCCCACACGTGACTGTGAAAACAGATTTAGGTCCCCACAAGTATAGTAATGCTAGACCACACACACACACACACACACACACACACACACACACACACACACACACACACACACACACACACACACACACACACACACACACACACACACACACACACACACACACACACACACACACACACACACACACACACACACACACACACACACACACACACACACACACACACACACACACACACACACACACACACACACACACACACACACACACACACACACACACACACACACACACACACACACACACACACGTGTAAAAATTAAACTATTTTCAGTACTTTTACAACTAAATCTCTCTCTCTCTTATGCCGTGATGTTCTTCCTGCATAACAATACACAGAAGTACTGCAAATGTTAAGAATCATACAAAATATGTTTGTTATTACTAGCGGGATTTAGCATGTTCATATAGCATAGCTGCTAGCATCGAGGCGCCATGTTTCTGGAAAGGAACACTTTGTATTGATTTCCTCTGCCATCTTTTAAGGGGGACGTTTCACTCAGGATAGTATTTCATCCTCATGTGGTGGCCGGCAACCTGAGTGCTCGGATTAAATATTAAGTCCTGCACCCCTGTGACCTGAGACCGTGCACTGCTCCATGTGAACTGCAGGCAACACCGGCACTAAAAAACACAGGTGAAAAGCTTTGTTTTCGCTTCTCAAAAATGAATATTCGCTTCTTTCTTGGTTGAAAATGAAAATAAAAAGGTGATATCTTTAGGTTTTACTCTTATTTGGAGATAATAAGCTATTTAAATGTCAACTTTAACTCGTTCCTGACTTTTAATACACAAAACAATTATTTATCAAGAAAATGGTTGGAAGATAAATTGAAAATGAAAACAAGCAAACGTTGGAGACACGTGTTGACTACATTACATAAGATATTTGATGATAGAAGTAAAACATATTTTGCAGCCTTTTTGAACAACTTTGATCAATTAAATTGTAATACTTCTCAGTTTTATGTCACAGGCTAAATCAAACACCAAACACGTAATGCACATAAAGCAAAATGTGAAAGTTAAAAGCAGAAAAAGCCACAAAGAAGAAAATACAACCCTAAAAGATGACTTCACCCTGAAGTGTAAAACCTCGCACATCAGCGGTGGAGTTTGAGACATGCAGGATCAAATATGGCTTCTGACGATGCATTCAAGTGTCAGTATTTCTCTAATGAAACGCCTTCTGCACCGTAGGTCTAATTGCTGCAGATTGAACAGTAGCTGTTAAATACATCCACAGCATTAACAAATGCAGCATCCAGTGACATTATATAACAGTTAAACACACGCTACTTCACAATTAATACTTGTACTCGAGGTATTTTGAGAACATCTTACTGATATATGTAGAAAACTATTCGGTAAGTTGTTTTTTTTGCATTTCGGGACCCGTCTGTAAAACTGTGTATTTGGCATCAATTGGCACCTTGTTAAGCTGGTTTGACCTTCTATCAGAGAGGGTTATATGCTTCTCTTTGCCATATACAGCGTACTCATCATCCTTGGATATTCAGCCCATCTGACAGTGATGAAATGATGCTTTAAATAACTGTACTAACACAGGGCTGCATATTGTTGGACATTTTACCATGCCTGTGCCAAGAACGATGACCATTGCTTACCTTTGTGATGACCAGAGGCTCCCTGTGCTCCGTGCCTCCTCTCAGGGTGAAGCCCCAGGGTGCTTTTCCTCGGAGAAGTACCTCCACCAGCTCTTCCTCCTCCTCTTCATGCCACATCTCCACCTCCCTGCACCACCTCATCCTCGCTGCAGAAACTCTCAGGTCGTCTCTGTAGTCCACGGCGTCCATTCCTCGCGTTCAGAGAGCTCCATCAACCTCTGTCACCCTGACAATCTGCATTTATGTACCCAAAACATTCATTATTATATTACAATTTAATGTATACCAATGCTTTACTAATATACGACTTCCCCCAGGAACATTAGCAATACAGCAGGAGCTCTGACTGCCAGAAAAATGTCGTGATATAGAAATGATAAGTGAAATGATTGGTTGAATGTCAGAAAAGTCAAACTATAATGATAAATAATTGAATTCAAGCTTTGTTTTCGCTTCTCAAACATGAATATTTACTTCTTTCTTGTTGGAAAAGGAAATAAAAGGTGGTATCTTCAGGTTTTTACTCTTATTTGGAGATAATAAGCAATTTAAACATGTCAACTTTAACTATTTCCTGACTTTTAATACACAAAACAATTATTTATCGATAAAATAGTTGGAAGATAAATTGATAATGAAATCTAGCATTAGTTGGAGACACCTGTTGACTACATTAAATAAGATATTTGATGATAAAAGTCTAATATGATTCGTTTATTATTAATTTAGGCTCAATTTTAGGCTTTAATTGATTAATTAAGACGTATTTCGTAAGTAAAACACATATTGTGAACCTTTTTTGAAGAAATAGAACTTTTATCAATTAAATTGTAATATTTCTCAGTTTTATGTCACAGGCTAAACATGTCTTGACAAAACACCAACAACGTAATGCACATATCAAGCAAAATGTTAAAGTTAAAGCCACTTATAAATGAGCCAACTCACTAAGAAGCTGCAAAAATACAACTCCTAAAAGATAATGTAACATTTGATGGATTTAAAAGACGTTTTACTTACTTAAAAATGCTAATTCGCTCCAGAACAAAACGCAAACGACGTATTTTCTCCGCGTGCAGCTCCAACAGGTGGCACGAGCTTCGCCCTAATTGATTGTTCTGAGTTTTAATTCAATAACTTGAACCGTTTTTCGTCCTGAGAAGCTTTTCTGGGAAGTTTTACCCCCGTTAGACGCTTTAAAAGCAGCCTCCTCCCAACACAAAAAGCTCCCTGACATCTCCATCTGTTCTCTTCACCTTCACAACACTTCAACTCACGCAGTGATGTCATCACGCCCCCTAGCGGCGACGTGCTGCGTCATCGGGCTGCATGGTGCCTTCAGGTGCACCTCGTAAACCTCTCCTTAATTTACTCACACAGGTTTTAGAAAGCAGAAGAAAGCTTTTAACCCTCCGGTGTCACTCGATTGGACTACGCAAATTAGTCATTCGGGATAAAAATGTCCACTGCAAAATACTTTGATAAAAACATTATATTAAAAGGTTTTTCACAACTTTTTTGGGTTCAATCTTTAAAGCAACTTCAGCCCTAATCAAAAAAACTAAATATTGAATAATTTTCAGGATTTTAACCCTTTAAATGCCATTTTGAATACATGAAATCGCTGTTGTTTTGCATGATGAAAACAGAGAAAATGAGTTATCTTCCAGGTAATTGATATCTGGGGACTGGCTCTTTTTTATTATATGTCAAAGATTAGCAACAAAATAGATGGTTGTGCATTATTAGTTTTTGCACAAAATCAGATTAAACAAAAAACTCATACATTAGTCATTCGGGACAAAAATGTCCACTTCCAAAAACTGCTCTAAAATGATAACAGATTAATATTTTTTAAAACTTTTTGGGGTTAAATCTTTCAATCAACTTCAGTCCAGATCAAAAATACCAAATATTACATTATTTGCAGGATTTTAACCCTTTAACTGCCAGTTTGAAAACACGTATTGTCATACTGACCTGTACACACTGTGAAGACCACTGAGATAAATGTAACATTTGTGATATTGGGCTATATAAATAAACATTGATTGATAGATTGATTGATTGATTGATTGATTGATTGGATGAATTTGCGTTTTCTATGAAAAACATGCACAAAAAGGCTGTTATTTTCCACATAATAAATGTTGGGGGGGGTCGGCTTTTCTTTTCTTTTTTATCACAGTCTTGGATATGTCAAAGATTAGCAACAACATTTATTTTGGTGGATTATTAGTTTTTGCACAGAATCAGATAAAAAAAAAACTCACATTAGATCGAGAAAATAGCCTTGCTACAAAATATCAGGCCATTTGCAGAAACACAACCAAAGTTATTGCAAAATGTTAATATTTATTTTAGTACTTTTTGTAATTCCTGTAGATGTAAAAAAATCTTATTTTTCCACCATAAACACTTCAGATTTAAAAACACCAGACTTTGACTTTTAGGAAATGGTATCTGTGAAAGGACAAGTGTGTGTTTTGTGTAAAAGTTCATTAAAATAATCTCGTTAATAACAAACACACACTTCTTGTATTCACACGCAGGTTTAATGATGAAATATCAGCCCCAGCTACGAAGAAATGTCAAACTAATTCCCAATTAAAGCAAAATACATAGAGTGGCGTTAAGTGCTACAGTAAAACTCCACAGATGTTTGTACTCACAGTTTCTGCTACAGAACAATAAAGGCATCACATTCGAACATTTGACTGTTTAACAGAAACTATAGGGAGTTTCACAATAAAAAGAAATATGTATGTACAATAAAGTGACAGATAATGTCTTGATTGGATGTATAAATAGTCATTTGATTGCTTGGGTGATTAAACCTGAAGACGTTTATACTTGATCATAGGCCATATTTAAAACTATCCTAATCTCGTCCATATGGAGAGGCGAAGTCCCTCCTTTCCTCCATGGGACCTTATTTCGGAAAAAAGTCTGTATTGAAGTCAATGGAGAGAGAAAGATTATCTCTCGATCCCGTTTGAATTGTGCCATGAATTACACATATGATGTTTGTCAATTTAAAAGATAATTTTGCAAGTCAAAACAATTAAAATGTGTCGTAAAACTGTGAAGTAACACTTTCTTTGTGTGAAACCGCTCAATGAACTGCATCTCCCGCCTCGCACCACACACCAAGACGGCCGTCACGTTGGAACATTTCACTGCTTTCTTTCAGAACGAGGCGGAAAGTATTAAACGAGGTGGAAATCACTCCAAGTCTGGGCGCGTTGAGAGCTGTGCACACACACAAGGGGAGTTAGTCGGTTCCGTGAGAGCCAGCATGCGGGACCGGGACTCTGGGATTTGTAGTCTTTCTATTTTTCATAGTCTTATATTTCAACAGTTTTACGACAAACTGTGACTTTGTTGACATGGAAATGATTTTTTAAGATTGACAAACATCATGTGTGTAATTCGTGGCACAATTCAAACGGGATCGAGAGATAATCTTTCTCTCTCCATTGACTTCAATGCATCATTTTTCCAAAATAAGGTCCCATGGGTCGGAAATAGATGGGCGGGACTTCGCCTCTCTGTGGGGCTCTTGTCTCCATGTCTTTCCAACACCTCTTAGAGTGTTTTTGTGAAGACGCCCTCATCAGTTCTGGTTTGGAAAGCTCATCTGGGGAGAAATGAAGAGAGGGATTTAATACATTCATACGTTTAATTACGGGGTAAAGCACATTTAGCAGCAGCGGTGAATATGTGAAGAGCAACATATCAGATCTACCTGAACGTCAAACTCTTCAAATCCATCAATCAGATTGTTGGTCTGAAAGCAACAGGACAAACAAACAAGGCTTATTGGAAAACAGACAACTACAACGGCGTATTAGGGTCTAAATTAATAATTTATATTTCTTTAACCCTTTTACGCCGTTGTAGATTTCAGCAGACATTGACAGAAGACAGAAACCTTGAAACTCCTAATTGGATTTTAACGTGTGTTTTACTTTACCTACTGCGACAACTGATGACTCTGCTTGTGTGTGTCTAAAATGTCCTGATTTTAAATAGTCTGATATTCATCTTAGTGTCTGTAATAAGTTCAAATATCTTGGACACTTTATTACAGAACAGATGATGAAGATATTTATAGGCAATGATGATGTGTGCACAAGCAAACATTCTCCTAAGTTTAGTGCGTGTACAGATGGAGTGAAGATGTCTCCGTTCAGAGCATATTGCACACCGCTCTATCCGGCACATTTGTGGTCAAACTACAGAAAAGCAAGTTTACGGAAACTTCAAGTAGCTTATAATTAGGGCTGCAACAAACGACTAATTTGATAATCGATTAATCTATCGATTAATGAAACGATTAATCGACTATTCGGACTATTACTGTATGCCTTGCACAATTTCTCAAGCGCTCTGATTTAGCCATCAACTTTTAGATTTAGCTTGAGGTTGTTTTAGGCATGTGGAAACTAACAAGACAATAAAGACGAATACTTGATTCAAAAATACATATATTATTGAAATAACTTAACTTTTTATTTAAATTAAATAAATAATATTTCACATCAGAAGAAACAACAGTGTTAAATAATCTGAGGACAGAATAGCTGAAACTTTAACAAACTAAATAACTCAGTTTCCTATAATCATTAACCCATGTTTGTATAATTGAGTTAACTGTGTGTTGCTGCTAGCATACATAACACCTGACGTGGAAACGTTACTCGTGGACGGGGCTACAGAGCTGCTAGAAAGACGGTCGAACCCGGTGCATTCCTCCGTCTGGATGTGGAGCACTTTTGATAAATGTTTAGACAAATTGCTCGTGTTACCGCCCTCACATGCTGAAACTCTTATTGCGCTTTTGGTAACGAGCATTGTCCACATCGAGACGGGTAAAGTTTAACCACACCTCGGAGCAAGTTCTCTCCGCAATCTCCGCGTGTGTGTAAACGGCCCCGCCCCCTCGCACACAGACGGGAGAGAGATCTCGTCTGGATTGGAAAGATCGGAAATACACCATAGACGCATTTGTTTGTCTTTTTGCATGTTAGAAACGAGTCGGCGACACTAAGACTTCGATATAATGTTTTTGTAGCAATAATACATGACATGTATTTTTTACATGTCTCCAGTACCGATAAAAAGACCGATAACGTTGGAGCTTAACGGCGCGTTAAAACACACGTGATGACGTCACCAACGAATCGACGACTGAATTAGTGGGCAACTAATTTGGTCATCGATTTTAATCCATTAAGTCGATTAGTTGTTGCAGCCCTACTTATAATGATGCCGTGAGAATACTGCTGAAGAGACCTCGGTGGTCGAGTGCAAGTGAAATGTTTGTGGCTGCAGGAGTCAATACTCTACAAGCTGTATGTATGAATGTATTTGCCGGCTTAATGACTGATAATGAAATCCTCATCGAACATAAGGTTTAGTACTACACACTGCCAGAGACATTGGTATCTCTTTGGAGGACACTGATTTAAAATTATTCTTAAACTGAATTTGTTTTTATGCTGTGTATGTAATTTATGTAATGACCCTGAGTCTGTAATAAAGTTTTGATTGATTGATTGATTGTATTACCTTTTCAGTTATAGATTTGTATTGATTTGGTCCTTCATTAAAATTTCAACTCACCACAGCATCGATGTCTCGGGGACTGATGTACTGCGATAAAACCTTGTAGTCGTCCGGAGACATCGGCATCATGTTGTCGTGCAGTTTGGACGGATGTCTGCACAGGAGAACGTGGACAGAGACTTAGTATTTCATCTGTTAATAATTCAATACATCATGTTATTGTTTTTAACACTGCTTACACTTCTGAGACAGATATGAGCTCCGTCTTCATGTAGGCGCTCTTCGGTGGACAGTTCTCCACGTCCATGGGCTCTGCAGCTGGAAGGCAGAAACACAGATTAAAGCGTGTGAAAAGGGAAAGAAAATGGGTTCAGAAATGCACGAGTGCACCAGCTTTAGTGTGCACTTGGCTCCAGCTGCACTTGGCTCCAGGTGCACTAGGCTCCAGGTGCACTAGGCTCCAGGTGCACTTGGCTCCAGCTGCACTTGGCTCCAGGTGCACTTGGCTCCAGCTGCACTAGGCTCCAGCTGCACTAGGCTCCAGGTGCACTTGGCTCCAGCTGCACTTGGCTCCAGCTGCACTTGGCTCCAGCTGCACTTGGCTCCAGCTGCACTTGGCTCCAGCTGCACTTGGCTCCAGCTGCACTTGGCTCCAGGTGCACTAGGCTCCAGGTGCACTAGGCTCCAGGTGCACTAGGCTCCAGGTGCACTTGGCTCCAGGTGCACTTGGCTCCAGCTGCACTTGGCTCCAGGTGCACTAGGCTCCAGCTGCACTAGGCTCCAGGTGCACTAGGCTCCAGGTGCACTTGGC